TCATAATTTAGATTTATATCATTGAATAACTACTGAAACATGTATTTAGTTTTAAAGGTACCTTTTCCTGATAAAGCATCTGAAACAATCATTTTCAAAGTGTTATCCAAGCATCTACAGAGATCCCAAGAGCATTTCAGGGAATCTGTGAGATCAAAACTATTTTCATAATAACACTAAACTTTATAGTCTTTTCACTCTAAAGAGTTTGCTGTGGAATTTCACAGAGGGTACAGGATATACAATAATACTGTGTAATGTAAAGTGTCAACAGTTGGAGTTTCTGCATCACTCATTATTGAAAACTGGAGAGCGAGAAATAGCTGGATGTGAGTATTGAAAAAAAATCTGATCCCTATACAATATCTTTATAGAAAAAGAGCATCACATCTACACACATGCAGATGACTGATCCCTTCCTAGCAGCATACTGTTATAGGAATGAGTGAAGAACAACACACATCACAATAACAGAAGAAGCCAGATGAGAAAATAGACAATAAATCTTAGATTTGGGCATCTAGTATTTTCTCAACATCTTAAATACTCTCTCCAATTTAAGATTTCATAAATATTTACTTATTTTTATAATTATTTACTCTCTCTCTCTCTCTCTCTCTCTCTCTCTCTCTCTCTCTCTCCACCCCAGTGCATATGAAGATAGGCCAGAAAAGGATTCCAGGTATGTGCCTCTATGACCCTCTCTACCTTCTTCCTTCAAGACAAGGGTTTTCACTACTGACTTCTTTGGCTAGACTGGCTAGCCAGTGAGTTCCTAGGATCTGCCTGGCTCTTTCCCTTTATACTGGGGTTACAGGCATGTGCAGTCTTGCTGAGCTTTTTATATGGGTCCTGGAGATTTGAACTCAGGTCCTCAAACCTACAGAGCAAGTGCTGTCACCTAATGATCCATCTGCCCAGTCCTTATGATTTTTAAAATATATGATTAGTAGATATAATTTCTGTATTACTCTATTTTTTATGTCCCTCAAAGAGATGTTTGAAAATGGAAACTGCACACACCCTCTGTCAATGACAACGAATAAAATGGTGTTTATAATTTCTTTGTTCAGTTCTCTCTGAGAGCAATAGCTTCCACAGGAGCAGTTGAATGCTAATTTCTCAATTGTGGAAAATATAAACACTGCAAAATATGTCATGTTACTTAAATAAGTTTTGAAATGATAATAATCATTGTACACCAAGTCTAATGAGTAAGGTAGCATCTAAGCTGGTTAAAATTTCTCTCAGCTAGAAAAAGGCATATTATATACTATTTATTGTTTTGTATAAATTTTCTTATTTATGATGATAAATTTTATCTCATTCAAGTCTATTTACCAAAATATTTTGTGCTTAAGTAACTTTTATTAATGCTATTTGTCACAGTCTAACTTGAAATTCCACACAGAAGAACTCTCCAAATATTTTTGCATACCAGTTCCTACAGGCAGTACACATTCTCCACATAACCACTTGGAATGACAACTCAGCTCTTTTGCTATGTTTACTAAAAAAAAAAAAAAAAATAGGAATCCTGTTACTTTATAATCATACTCATTTTAAGAGTAAATTATAAAATTATTGTACTAAACAAAGCTTGTTTTTGGAGATTAAGCCAGTGATTTCCAAATTATCCTAGACACACAGATGCTTCTGAGAACGAAGCCAAGAACCCCATGAGTGTTTTGAGGACATTCCAGGGGAATACAGGGAAGAATCCTGAAGTTCCTCAAGAAACTATTTGTGGGTAGGAAATGAATCCATTTAGGTGATATGATTGGCAAGGATCTCCTGAGACTGGAATTTCAACACAAAAAGCCTATTGCATTTTTTATTTCAGAAATTATAAACAATAATGCCACAACAGTTATTTCACTGCTAGGTGTGTTGGCATAGGCCTTTAATTCCAGCGCTCAGGAGGTAGTGGCAAGAGGATCTCTGTGAGATCCTGGTCAGCCTGGTCTACATAGTGAGTTCTAGGCCTGCTGGAGCTATAGGGAAATCATGTCTAAATAAAAACAAACAAACAAACAAACAACAAAAAACTAGCTATTTCCTTCTTCACTAAAGCCAGATTATTTTGGTCCTAACAAAGTCTCAATAAGTTTAACTAAACTGTGAAACTTAACCCAACAGATTCTCTAGGAAGCAGTTACCCTAGATTTGAATGAATCCTCAGCTTACCACTAGAAAAATTATTTCTTTGAAAATCCTAAAATCAAGAATAGAATTGGGAGTAAGGATGTTCTCATTTAAGAATTGGATGTGAAAGAGTAATTAGAGCCTGATACAAGACCTAGCTTATATTCTAAATAAGCTCAGATATAAGCCTCATATTAAATATACTTTTTGTAAATGAATTAGTTTTTAATATTATGACTATTATAACAAGAAGAATATAAGCAAGGATACTTTTCATGAACTATGTTAGAAGTTTGTAGAGTTGTAGGAGGTTATAAAAGCCATGTTTAAAAAAATGGAGTGATAATGAGGAGAATAAAGTCTTTTCTTGGGACAGTAAGTATATTATTCTATGCTACATATGTTTTCTTCTTAAATGATAGCTTGGTCATAAAGATGATTTTTTTTTGTCAGACTCCCACTAACTAATTTTTATTGCTCTCAGAAAGCAAGAACATCAACACAGAGAGCCACAGCTAGTCAACATGCAGGGAAAAAGATACTGCCAGAGTGCACAGCCCTAAACTTATATCACATCCTCTCCTTCCAAGGCTCAGGGAGCAGTATGGAAGAAGGGGAAGAAAGATTGTAAGAGTCAGAGGCAGTGGGTAAATAAGAGGAAACTGTTTTTCAGACACAACAGGGCTGGAACACACATGAATCCATAGCACTTGTGACAGCATGTATAAGATCCTTGCAAACTCAAGCCAGAAAAAAACCCCAGTACGATTAGGGGAATTTGACAGGGAGATCTAGCTCCAGCTGAGGATCTATTGACAATTGACAGCTGCTGAAAGATGGAGGGTCAGTTTTCTTTAATCCTGTAATGCCAGGTAGGTCCACCAGGCTCCAGGATATGAACCCATACCCCAAGGTGTTTGGGGAACACAGATCAGACTCAGTGGACCTTTAGTAAAAAAGATAAAGAAAATGAATTTGGAGTAGGAGTAAAATGGGGTCATGGGAGAGGGGTTTTGAATATGATAAAAAATATACTATGAAATCATGGTTTTCAATTTTTTCCTGTTTACAGCTATATAGCTGTAGTCTTTGTTATAAATGTATTCAACTAGCTACAGTGTTATAGAATTTCCTTACCTACAATTAAAGATACATTAAAATACATTTATTAATAAAGTGAACCTACTACACACACTGCACAAATGAAAACAGGGCAAATAAAAAAATGTGTAATGCATGTAGCCACGCAAAGATTCTCCATCCTTAAATCATCTAGGAAAATTCCAGAGCAATTTGCCTCTGTCTTTAGGCACTGGAAATACAAGTTTAGCAAAGAGAAACCACAAAGTGATTCCTTTAAGAACTAACTGAGTGTTCTTAAGTTAAAATGAAAAGATGTATGTCCCTGACGTTCAATAATATCTAGGGTGTCTGGTATCCAGTGGGAATCATAGAAAGCATCCATTGCATATAAGAGGAAATCACTAACCTCCCCAAAGACTAAATTAATATATAACAGAAAATGAAATGACCCAAATTTTTAAAATGCAAACAGATTTAAGCATGCTGATGTATTTCATGTGTCCCTGCCTCAAAGCGAAAATGAAAGATTAATGCCTATGATCTTTGGGTAGTATCATGATATCCATTAATAATTTACCTTAATTTCTGTTATCTATTCTATTTTCCTACATCCTTATTTTCTATATTTATTGTGGTGAAAAATTCTATAAAGAAATAATATTTCAAGTAAGTCAATCAGTAAATATATAAAGAAACAAACATATTTAATCAAATAGATGCATATTAGAACAATTGGACACTTTTTTACTCCTAATAAGTAAATATTATAATTACTTCTAATACTTCCATCAAGAGGGCAATGAATTTTAAAAATAGGCACAGACACTTTAATATAAAAAAAATTATGTTTAGGAACATATTAGAAATCATCAGGCCTTCCTTCTCAACTATGAATGCAGATGAACTATTTATACATTTGTTTAAATTAGGACTATGAAATAAAATGTCATTTGTCCACTTATTAGTATTTGCTTTCAAAAAGATGCAAACTGTGGGCTGGAGAGATAGATCAGCAGTTAAGAGCACTAGTTGCTCTTGCAGAGAACCCGGATTTGATTCCCAGTACCCACATAGAGACTAATAACTACCCATGACTCTAGCTCAAGGGGAATCTGATGTCCTCTTCTGACTTCTGTAGACATTACATGACACAGGTGCTCTTACACACATGTAAGCGGTACACTCGTACACATAAACTAAAAATAATAAATAAGATATTTTTAAAGAGATACAAACTGAAAATATAATACATCAAGTTGCTAAAGATGTAAACAAGGATTATTTATTGATGGGAACATATATTCAGAAAGTATAAACTGAGGTTAAATATGGAACAAAATAGTATTAGGAATATTATTATTTTAATTTTTGAATTTTTATAAGAATATTGATTTTAAATATTTTTAAATTAATCTAGTAGGATGAAATTCTGAGTATTTATCAAATCTGCTTATCAAAGGAGGCTAAACCATGTTGAAAAGATAAGTAAGTATAAAAATGTGCGTAATTTTAGGCATGTGAAAACCTTGCTGTGTTTGGAGGGAGTTCATAAAGTGATGTTTGATATTTGAATTAGGATCACTGTTCACTTTTTAAACATGAATCATTTGTTTTTTTCCCAGAATAAGTGATAATATTTTAATGTTGAAGGCAATGTCTCCTTCTGGGTCAGCACAACTGACACAGAAGTTTGGATTATCCTTCTGACTTAATTATACACCCACACGTTTACAAGATAGAAAATGAAGATGTCAGGAATCCACATTACTCACTCTGGTTGTGTAGGCAGCTTCTGGGTCATCTTCTAGGACCCGCGAGAGTCCAAAGTCAGAAACTTTGCACACCAAGTTACTGTTGATCAAGATGTTCCGAGCAGCAAGGTCACGGTGAACATATCCCATGTCTGAAAGGTACTTCATGCCAGATGCTATACCCCGAAGCATTCCCACCAGCTGGATGACTGTAAACTGGGCATCATGTTTCTGCAAAGCATACCCAAAGTGCACCTAATGAAAGTTGGTTGCTATAACCTAAATTAATCCTTTTACTTTAAAATTTCGTATTTTTTGTTAAGACGACCATATATATATATATATATATATAAGTTGAAACTAGCAAGATCTGTGAACAAATGACCAAAATGAATTCAAGAGTAACACAAATTTGATCGTGTCTGCGTTACCTAGTACAGTATCATATACTCAGAATCAAGTTCAAAAGTAGCGCCATCTTGATCTTTATATAATATATAAATTCCTCAGAAACACTGAGGGTAAAAATTAAGAAATTAAATAGATACATGATACTCTGACGATTTCAAATTCATATTTACTTGACTGGATTTCATTCTTTTCGTAGTTTCAAATGTTTTATAGATTTCTTCAAATAAGATAGACACAATTTTTTAACCATCACCATAAATATTTAGCTAATTTGTAAAAAGGAATTTATTGAATTTTTTTGATTTGGCCTGACCATTAATTATAGCGCTTGAAAGAGAAAGCTGGGCTGGAGAGATGGCTCAGCAGTTAAGAGCACTGACTGCTCTTGCAGAGGACCTGGGTTTCTAAAACTGTCTATAACTCCAGTTCCTTTTCTGACCTCCATGGGCATTGCACAACATAGGCACACTTACACACATACAGTCAATACAATACACATAAAATAAAAATAATAAATAAAATATTTTTTTTAAAAAAAGAGAAAGCTGTGGGAGAAAATGCTCATAGAGTCCTGTATTGAGAACCTTTCCAAACCATTTGTATCTAAATAGTAATATTTAGGTTATAAGATAAAATATATCAATATAAAATTTTACTTACACGTAAGAAACTGTCCAAGGACCCATTCTCCATGTATTCTGTGACAATCATTACTGGCTTACCTAGACATAAGGTAAATTATAATAACTATCAACCAGAGAGCATATATGTTTACTTTTACATGTCTACTGAACACTTAAGAAACTTTTCTGTCCTCCAAATTTCACAAACTTGTAATACAGATAACATGCGATTAAAAAAGTATAATGTAAAAAATGCAGAAGACTGGTTTCCAGAACAAAGGCCTGTGATGTACTGTATCTAAATTACCTTATTTCTTATAGTTTTCCCATATCATAAAATATCAAAATATGCCTTTTCCTCTTTTAAGCTGCTGCTTAATTATTTTAACAAATTGAAATATCTTGCCTTCAACCTCAGCCTCCCAGTTTTTGTTTTTGTTTTGTGATAAAATACACTGATGCCAAGCAACCTATGGGAAAAGGGATTATTTTTTAGCTCACAGTTCCAGGTTACTGCCCATGACTGATGGAATGTCAAGAGAAAAGGAACGCATGCATACCAGCACTCAGCTAACTTTCTCCATTTTATGCAATCTAAGATCCACCTCCTTTAAGGCTGAGTAATCAAGACAATCCCCCACAGATATGACCACAGACCAATATAATCTATATAATTCCTCTTTGAGACTCTTCGCAGGTGATTCTAGATTTTGGAAGGTGAAAATGAAAATTAACCATCATACTGAGGACTGTCAAGAATTCAGAGTACATTTATCCTGTCTATAGTGGTTATGGAGCCTTGTGTTGGTTATTCCCTTGTGCTGGTGAGTCAGACACAGGTAAATCCAATTTCTCATCTTCAAGGATATAAAAGATTGTTGTAGAAAATAATTCCTGACAAAAATTAAAATCTTTCTACTTACATTCAGTTAACAGTTTGGAATTTTAAGAACGATATTGTGTTTGAAAGGAAAGTAAACTTATAACTGATGTTATCAGTAATTTCTAATTAACATTTTTCAAATAGTTGAACTTAGAATATGCTCGAATCATTGAGTTCAACACTGATTGTATTTATATAGCAATTATTATGTGTAAAATAGTGGTTAATTTTATCTGTACTAATTTATTATCATCTTCATCATACACAGGAAAAAGTTGAGAAGCTGTGATTAATTTACTTATGTCAGGCACTTTTCAGGCTATGAAGTCAAACATTTCAACCTCTACACACCTAAGCTGTCACTGATGTAAACACTGACTACATAAGAGAGCTTCAGATCCAAAGATGCTAAGTATGCTATATATACAGAGGCACACAGAGGATAAGTTCTCTGGAATAAGTGAAGACTTAGTCAGCTGAAGCTTGTTGATTCTATGATTGCTTTGTGATACAATGACATTGAGCACCATAACATTTCAGTTAGTTGTTACAGTATTATACTATATGAACACAGCTGAAATATAACTATTGATGAATTGTGGTTAATAGCTAGCAACATAAATAATAACTGGAAAAATAATAAACATTTCAAAAAGAAATGTAGAAAATGAGGATTTCTCAATTCACAGAAAATATTGTTAGAATAATGTAACATTTTAAAATATTTTATTTACTATTTTTATTATGTGTATGAAGGAGTGTTCTGCCTGCATGTAGGTAAGTGCACCAGCGTCCTGCAATGACGGCAAAGGTCAGAAGAGAGCACTGGATCCCTAAAATATTTTATTTACTATTTTTATTTTATGTGTATGAGTGTGTTACCTGCATATATGTAAGTATACCCATGTCATTCAGTGCCCAGAGGTCAGAAAATGGAATTGGATCCCATAGATGGAGTTAGGATGGTTGTTAGCCACCATGTAGATGAGGACCATTGAACTTGTTTCTCTGAAAGAGCAACCAGTGCTCTTAACCAGGGAGCCATCTCTCCAGCCCCTAATGTAATATGTTTTAGTTACATAATAGATTGCATACTCAGTCACAATAGCATCCCCAGGCTTTAGGTATATGCATTGTTCCCATTTCATTCCTTCCTTTTTGGAGAGCACTATGAATTTTAACAACTTAGGTCAGGAATCAGCTAGTTGTCACATAATCCTTCACACAGCTCTCTTGTTTTAAAGCCTTCACATATCACAGACTTACTTCTCTTACTTTATAGTTTCTATGTTGTTTTCATGGCAAAACTTCATGCTACAAGAGGCAAAATCTGTCCTCTTCCAGGTGTAGAAGAACCAGGTTAAGTCGAACTAAGGGTTCTTGAAAGTCCTTGAGCATAGACTAGGTGTTCACCAAACAACTGTGCTTATCTAACTGAAGAACAGTTATATACTTTCCTCTGTAGAATTCTCTCGATCACAGGGTTAGTATGCCTTTTTTGCTTAATGTTCTGTCTTCTCCCTACTCTGTTTTTCCCCCCTACATTTATTAATTTTAATCATTTTAATGGTATGTTGCATCTCTTTTCTTATAGTTTTACTTATTTTGTTATTTTGAGAGATGCTGTCATGTAGCACAGGCAGGCCGTGAATTCACTATGTAGCACAACCCAAGGATGAACTGATCCTATTCCCTTCTGCTTTCTCAGTGCTGGATTGCAGGCACAACACCCCATTCATCTGGTGATGGGGTTTAGATCCAGGATTTTGCTCATGCTACAAAAATACTCTACCAACTGAGCTACATTTAAAGCTAATATATCATTTTGATACTAGAAATTAGCTTCCTTTTTTACACATTCCTTTTGGAGATTAAAAGTCTATCCTGTTAGTGAATTACAGAATATTATCATGAAGGTTATCCTTATTACACTTACAATTTCACTTACAATTACAATATATCACAGGAATTATTTAATTAATTATTAAGCTTTTAAAATTATGCAAAAGTTCTGAGACAATGTTCATATATATTAAAATCAACTGAAACACTGGTTTGCATCAATGTATTGATTTATTTTATTCATTAGTTACCATATCACTATATTTCTTTGCTCTAGCAATATCTAAAGAATTACTTTAGTCAAAACCTTGATCCTTCATAACTTGCTTCTTTCAAATTCTAGCTAAAGTTTAGTTTGATAGTCTTCAAGAAGAAGTGCAAGATTTGGTGCGTGAGTAATGGCTTAATGGTTAAGAGCATACACTGCCCTTTCAGAAGATCAGAGCTCAGTTCCTAGCACTGATATCAGACAACTCACAACTGCCTCTACTTTTAGCTCCAGGAGGAAAAGATGCCTCTGACCTCTGGGGGCACCTGCACTAATGAACACATAATCACACATATATACATAGTTAAAAATAAAATAAATCTTTAGAAAGAGAGAAAGAAATGTAAGATTTACTTGTGCCTTAGAAACTCCCATCTCTTAAGCTACTTTGCTTCCAACCCTGTCCTGCAGTAAAATGAATACGTGAATGAGCTAATAAATGAATGGAAGAAACCCCACTCATTCAAGCTCTGTTCAGATCATTATCAGTGTCTGTGCTCCTTCCTAATACAATTCTAGGGAGAATAATATGCTACCAAACTAGAGTGCATGCCTCAAAAGCAGTCAGAGGTACTCTGTCTCATTCAGTTACTGCATTTAACTCAGATCACTGCTTATCACTGATTTCCTCTGGCACTCAGCCTTATGGCCATTTCATTTCTCATTAGCATGTCTAGTAAAATGTTTGGCAAGGGAAATGAAAGTAGCTGAAAAGTCAAACCAGTCAATTAAGCTATAGCCCCATGACCATTCAGAAATCAGATCAGGCTGCCTTTAACACTGCAATTTATGTATTTGTAAACACGTCAGTTAAGATGGGCAAGTCTGAAAATGTGCTTTGCATTAAGTTCAAAGATTCAGCAATCCAAATGTACAGACACAGAATAAACAGTATCACAAATATCCTACCTTGGAAAGCAATATTTTAACTTAGAATTTCCTTTGTAATCTCGATAAATGTTTAAGAAGAAAGACTCTGGAATTGTGGTGAGAATTTGTTGTAACATGCATCAAGTGTAGTGGGAAATGATTCACAAAACACCAGCTCATCTACACATCATGCCTTGTGTTGGTACTCAAGTTTGCATCTCCTTCCTGTGTATGTTATTCACACATGGCACAACTTGTTTCCTGGAGTGTATATCATTCATCGTCACAAAGGACTCCAAAATGTATTCGGATGTATGTACTAACCTCAGTGGATGCGCTGTTGTATAAGGGGTTGAATGTATCTCCACCAAAATTGAGCAATGGCAATTTTGTAGTGGAGTTTTACTTTTAAGTTGGCTTATGAGTGTAGAAAAAAATGATTTTTCACAGTTACAGACTAAAGGGAGGCAAGTCAGTCTGCTACAATCAGTTCATTTCTCCCTCCCCCCAAGCTATCCCCAGTAGCTAAGAGATAGTATAATTCATTTAATTGCTGCTTGATGCCAAGAACTATGATTTAAATGTCTAAGAATTCCAAGTTAATCCCTGGATTTTAAGCACCACAAACTTCTTATCCACAATTTCTATAAAAAGAAGAGTAGGATGATGTGGCATTATCATTTATAGCTAAATTGCCTTTACAAATTTCAAATGCTATTTCATAGGTATAAATATTTACATTCAAATGTGTAAATATTCATCATCAATAGTAAAATACTTTAAAACTGTTTAAATTTAGTTTATTTTCTCAAAGGAAATGCTAGTGGCCCCAAATGCTAATTGTGTGTCATGCTCTGCATTCATTCTTTGGTTTGTCTTTAATAGGGGAGAGTGTGAACACCATCTCCATCTCTATCTTCAGTATCAAAGACTATGTAGAATTTTCCTCATTTGGGAAAATTGCAGAAGTCAGCACATCCAAGTGTAATCAATAAACCTCATCCTGGAAAACCACCTCTGTGGTCATCAACTCTCCCCTACCAGGGAAGTATCATTTTCTAACTTTAAATACACTGTCTATCTGTCTGTCTGTTTGTTTTGAGACAGGGTCTTGCTATGCATTCTTGGCTGGCCTGGTACTTGCTGTCTTGCCCAAACTGGCCCTGATCTCATAGCCATCCTCTTGCCTCAGCTTCCTGAATTTCTGGGGTTTCTGGTATGTACCACCTTAAGCACACTTAAGTGTGATTAATAAACTAAAAATCATTTTTTCTGACCAGTACTCTTTTAGCAGTATAAAGAAATAAAGAAATCAGAGAAGAGGAAGAAGAAAGAGGAGTAGGAAGAGGAGGGGGAGGAGGAGGAGGAGAAAGAGGAGGAGGAGGAGAAGAAGAAGAAGAAGAAGAAGAAGAAGAAGAAGAAGAAGAAGAAGAAGAAGAAGAAAATTTGAACAAATTTAAAAAGAAATGCTTTGTACTATTTGTAAGACATAAGACAGACTTATATTGGTTTTGATGCTTAAAATTATATATAGACTTTACATGCATATAATTAACAGATAGAAATATCATTAGACCACTATAAAAACACAAGGTGAAATTTCTTGATTCCATTTAACCTGAAGCATTCTAGTGGTACATGTGTTAATGAAGCAGAGGTCAACATCATTTATGAATAGTACCAATTCTGCCGACAATCAGTGAGCAACTGACAGTTGAAGAGACTATGTTATTGGAGTTTGATTAAGGATGATCCATGCTTACAATATATAGGCTGGGAAACACTATCTACTCTGGCACTACCTTTATGACCACTCTAGCCATCTTAAGACACTGAATCTCTACATTCAGTTGATACTATAGTTTACATGTTTTCTGTATTTTTTTTCATTTGTTGTCATGTGTGTTTATACACGAATGCATAAATGGACACTTGGAAGCCAGACATCAATGTTGTTGTGTTCCTTTATTGCATTCCACCTTTTTTTGAGAAAGAGTCTCTTACCTGAACTCTGAACTCAGCAATTCGTCTAGACTGGTTGACCAGCAACAAGCTCTGGGGATCCACCTGTCTCCACTTGCCCCGTGCTGGGGTTACACTTCTGCCTGCTGCCTGATTTTTACACCGGTACTGAAGATTCAAACCCAGGTGTTCAGACCTGCACAGGAAGCACTTTAGACCCTGAGCTATCTCTCCATTCCTCTAAATTTATATATTTTCTACATATGATATGCTAATACATTAAAAAATTTAGTTTATTTTCTGAAGCTATTGTTCTTTTTATCTACTAATGTTGCAAAAGCCTGACATTATTAAATATTAACCCACTTTTTCATTCTTAGAATAATATAACTTGAGTATGATGTAATGTCTTTTTAAATTTTTTAAATTAATTTGTTAAGTTGTTTTTTGTTAACCTCTCTTTTTTTCCATTGTTATCAACATGGTTGATATTGTGCTATTTTGTGGTTATTAAAATTTCTCCTGCATTATAACGACTTGCTATTTTTTCTGATATTTGTATTGCTTGGTATTAATGTATTTCTGTCCTCATAAGTTAACAGTATTTTTTCTTTCCACAAACACCAATGTAAGACCCAGATTATTCATACATGTATTAAGCTTCTTCTTTTAAGAAAATTACTTTATGTATAACCTGATGCTCTTTAAAAGACAGTTCTCAGCTACCTGTGAATCATGTTCTAACCAATTGTATAAGATGAATTTAATCTTTCAAAAGTACCAGGAAACCATTCCATTTATATAAATGAGGATAATATGCAAGGATTTCCTTTTATAATTCAAATGTAGCAATTCAGGGGGAAAAAGAGAAAGAAACAACAAAGAAATCTTTAAATAAGTAAAACATTCTCTTCCTTATTTTTTCTACCATTTATTGAACAGAAGTTTTCCCAATTTTGTTGGCACAGTTTTTACAATAGATGAATTCACTCATTTTACAAATTTGCAATCTTGAATGCATGAAAACAACGTGTCATTAGCATTATCTAAATTTGCTATTCCTACAAATTATTCCCATAATTAAAATGAAATAGATGCATGCACATACTCTCTATTGAGAAAAATGATAGGAACGATAGTACTCTCAAGGCAAACTCAAAAAAACCTTATTTTTTCTTTTAATTCCTAGAAAATAATTCAAGGGAAATTTTATCAATCATATTCAGTAAAATTATTTCTATTCTACTAGGTAAAATTCTGCCAGTAGTAATTATTCCTGGAGCCTGAACATCATTTAACTAATGGTGTGATGGCAGAAATATCAAACATTTGCTAAATTCAAGTTCTATCCTTTTGAACTCCAACTAAAATTGGTAACACATGTTAGTCCCTAGCTCTGAGCAGATTGTGCCCCAGCTTTCTGCTACTTTGAAGATCAGAGAGTATATCACCTTCTCTAGTTTAAGGCCATCAGGCCCAGCGTGTACCATTTACATTGTTTATGGCTCAAGTCAAATAAATGAAAAAGTAATGATTATATAATAAAGTTTCTCAAAATGATCTGAAAATGACACATTATATAGATCGAGTGGTTCCAAGCATACAATTAACAGCAATAATAAAAAAGGATGAACTTTAAGCCAAAAAGAAAAACAAAATTGTTTTCAAGAATTTCCTGCGGTATACCCATTAACTGGAAGTCTCCTGCACTCAAACAGAAGTGATATAATATAATATTGTATAATCTCCTCTGTCTGATATCTAAGTATCTGAAAACATCACAGTACTGTTCATTCTGTCTTCCACATGAAGAAGTATCTGTAATGATTTGATTTGCAAAAGGTTTCACCATGAAGAAGGTTGGCACAGAATTTGATTTCAGATCCACTTGTTCCTAATTTAAATCTAGTAGCTTGGTTTTCCTTTGTACATACCATTTTGTTCATCAAACTGTAGGTTCCACATCACTATGTGGTTGTGTGTATGTGTACATGTGTCTCTTGTTGTATGTAGACGGATTGCTTTAGAAATCAAATACTTCTACATAATAAAATGGGGTAGAATAAGTAAATTCTTTTGGCAACAGATTTGTCATATATATTAAATGAAACATATTAAGTTGATTGCAAGAAGTTTCTATTTCCCCTCTGCTATTATAGGGTGCCAGACTTACAGCTTTTAAACGTGCCACTGAGGAGTTCAAAATCTAATTCTAAGCCGACTACTCTATTATGTTTACAATGTATGCAATGGCTGGATTTATAGAGTCAGATTTGGCAGCTTCTTACATACTTATTTGACCAGGGAGATATATCAAATTTAGAGCTTTCATTCTAAGAAGGCAGTTGTAATCGACACTAGAATGTTGCAGAATCAGACTTGAACAAGATGTTTAACATATACTACCTGCAATTTTTTAAGACCCTTGGTTTTCCTAAAACATTTATTTTTTTTTCTATGTGTTTGTCTTGAAGATTGTTTTAGATGTTTTATTGGTTATCTTAGTCCATACTTTTTTTTCATTTTTGTACATAAAGAAATGTTGTTTTCATTCAACAAATACATTCATAGGAAACAGCATCACCTAATGGGTTGCTTTTGCTAACATAACAATGGAAACAAAGGAAGCAATTCATGAAGAATAAAACTATAGAACTTATCACTAAGCTTCAGTTTAAACCTAATATATTGCTTAAGAGTGACATTTACTCATTTCTTTTTCCTGCGGGTGTTGGAGAATTAGCTAATGATTTTGTCCAAGTTAAAATATTGACATTTTCTCTACCACTTCCTGGGGGAAGCAAGTAGTTCTGTAATTGAATTTCTTTGAATAATGTACTCAATTTAAAGACACTGAAAGTTTATTAATAGAACACTGCTCTCCCCTCCCTTCCCTTTTAACTACCCTCCTTCCCCTCTCTTCTCCTCTTCCCCTCCTTTTGTCTGTCCTCCATTTCCCCTCTTCCCTTTCCTCTTTCTTTCCTTTCCTTTCCTTTCCTTTCTTTTCCTTTCCTTTCCTTCCTTTAATTAATTTTTGATTCCTTAGACAACAGAAAATTGGGTCACATATTGTTATTTAAGCTCAAGCATAATCATATCCATGCCGTCCTTGAGATCTTATATCTTGTTTGGAGTGGTTTCTAATTTCTCATTTATTTATTTGTGTGTGTGTGTGTGTGTGTGTGTGTGTGTGTGTGTGTGTGTGATATGTCACTGTGTACAAGTATACATATACTGAGGCCAGAGGATAACATCTGGTGTACTCCTTTATTGCCTTCTGCCTTATTCCCTTGACCTAGGGTTTCCACCTAACCTGAAACTCCACATCTTGCCCGGCAAAGCCCAGCAATCCTCCTGCCTCCTTCTTCCCCCTTAGCACTAGGTCACCGCATATGTAACCACCCTGGGCTTTCCACATGGGTTCTGGGGATATGAACTCAGATCCTTATGCTTTCATAGCAAGTGCTCTTACACAGTGACTCATAGCCCCAGCCCCTTGGTTTAAGTTTTAATAGTAATACATTAATTCAAACATTTTAGAAACTTGAAGGATGCTTTGCTATGATCAAGTTGTTAGGGAGGATTTGGGGGAGATTTTCAATAACCAAGAAATGAAATAGAAAAGCAGTAGGTGAAATATTAAGAATATAACCAGGACCAGCGGGATGACTAAGGGAGAAGGAGCTTCCAAGCCTCTACCTGAGGTGTATCTGTGGGACCCACATTGTGGAAAGTGAGAACCAACTCCTGTAAGTTGTACTCTGATCTCCACATACATGCCATGGCACACATGTGCCCATGTGCATGCATACACACACACACACACACACACACACACACACACACACACACCATCTGTAAAAATGTATTTTTAAAAACCTTGAAACCTGGGCTGGAGAGAAAGCTCAGCATTTAAAAGCACTGGCTGCTCTTGCTGAGAATCCAAGTTCAACTCCCAGCACCGACATGGTAACTAACAACTGTTCGTAACTCCGCTTCCAGGGGATCCAACACCCTCTTCTGACCTACACAGCCATTGCAAGACATGGATACACTAACCTATGTGCAAGCAAGGCACTCATACACATAAAATACAAATAATAAATAAATTAATAGAAAACATTGAAGCCTATTTTTCTCCATTTTGCGGGTAGAGCTAAAGTGGAAAAAAGCAGTTCTCAACAGCTGTAGCAACTTCTACTTGGATAAGAAGCTTATGCTTTGCAGTTGTTTGTGAGAATGTCAAAGAGACATCATCAGTTCTAATGCACCATGTAGCAGCAACATGCAGTTACACACTGCAAAGACAAGACCCTGACAGGTCCTTTGTGAAGGAAAATGGGAAATTTTCATGGTGAAAATTGAGAGAAAAATGGCCACATAAGTACAAAGGGATTGTCTTTCCCCAGTGAGGCTCCAGATCTGAAGGGCAACCATTGGCTCAGGGTGTCATGGTGATATTAAATGACTAAATAGCATTGAAATTCTAGTGAACCATGATCCTATTATTTGAAAACAGTATGTTCTTTCCCTAAAGGAGGAATAGAACCACTTATACTGCTATTAGTATTTTCAGTAACTGTCCATTTTAAAATTAGCAAAACATATTTTATCAACAAATATTTCAGTATTAATATTAATATGACCTGTTTGCTAAGAGTGCAGAAGGAAGAAATACCTACCCACAAGATTTAACATGGTTATGTTGTGTACATTTAAATTATTTCATTGTTAAGGTCTTAATTCTACCCCTTTTCATAGGAAAACTCAAAAGGAAATCAAAGTATTTTTCAGTTATACCATGTTCTTGTGCAGAAGGAAATACCTTTTTAGCTACACTAAAGTGAGAGGAGTCACCAGTGCCATTTGGAGAGTGCTGCATGTAACGTTAAAGAAAAATAACATTGTACAAAATATAACAAGTAATGTCTGTTGAACCATAGAGCATGGAAATGTGGTGCCAATGAATTACCCCTGAAGGATGCCAAACTCTCTGCCATATGTTGTCTTTCACTGTACAGAGTCTGTTGCCAATTTCACTTATTCTTCATCCTGTACTCCAAAATCTTGAGAAAAAAAATATTCTCAGAGGATCCTCAAGAGGTTTTCATTGGGATTGAAGCCAAAAATCACAGATCTGCCTCACAGGATCCCTTTAGCCTGGCTGGAGAAACCATCATGGAAATAAATTCAGAGCTCTCTGATGGCTCTGAGCCAGAGCTTCTTCCTAGCAGCCAGGAGCCCACCAGAAAGCCGAGATGAGAGCTATCTGAAATCCACAGAAAGCCCAAGAGAGGTCTTGGGCTCTGAGATTCCCGATCTTACCACTCAGAAGCATTCTCAAGATTCCTATAATTCTCCTAATGGCGGGAGGAAGGCGACGGGGCACAGATATGAGAGTGAAATTCAAGCTTGTGAGCAATACAGGAAAAGGCAACTATGTGGGAGTCAAAATCTAGTCTTTTCTGCTGCTCCACCTACCAGATGGTTCTCCACAATTCTCCTCAAGACAGTCTTGTAATCAGCATATGTCTTAATACTCCAAAGCCCAAAATTTTTATTTCATTTAATTAATTTATTTGTTTCTGTTTATTTGACTGTTTTTTTTTTTTTTTTTTTTTTTTTTTTTTTTTTGACTTAGAAGAGTGCTGTCATTCAACCACCTGTCAGAGAAATACATGTTAATCCTAAACACATCTTTTGGATGGAACCAAAGCTACTTGTGATCAAAATATCAAAATTCTCAAACGATTGAGCTTGAATTTACATAATATCTGCTTGGCACAAACAAAAGCAGGGCATGTGATTTTACTTACTTTTAGTGACAACTCCTTCCAATCGGATGATATTGGGGTGGTCAAACTGCCCCATGATGCTTGCTTCTCCCAAGAAGTCTCTTCTCTGCTTTTCTGTATAGCCCACTTTCAGGGTCTTGATAGCCACTGAAATCTCTTTTTTTGAAGGAAGCTTTAGACGACCACTGCAAACCTCTCCAAATTCACCTATTAGAAAAAAAAAGACCAACAAAATGTAAGGAAATTTACAATGAAAGTCATGGGACTAGGGAGATGCCTCAGTAGGTAAAATTCTTTCAGTGTAAGCATGAGGACTTGAGTTTGTATCCCAAGCACCCAGGTAAAAGCCAAGAAGCAGCATATATCAACCCCAGAGCTAAGAAAGCAAAGAATGGGAAATTCCCAGAGCTTCCTGGCCATTCAGTATAGCTAAAACTGTAAATTCCAGGTTCTGGGAGAGATGCTATCTCAGGAAAGATATCAGGTATAGAGAAGATAGAAAAGAACACCCAACGTCAAGCTCTGGTTTCCTCATGTGCACATACAGATGAGAATACCTATACACAGATGTGCACAGAAAGGTATACACCATACACACACACACACACACACACACAATCAAAAGGGAGTAACTCTTCAAGTAAGTCATTTAAAATATCTATGTTTGGACTTCTAATATGTGTTCTGTAAGGCTAAAAATTCACTGGAAGACAATAATATAAAACTGCCTAGGAAATCCCAGGTTATTCGTGGGCCTGTAAGAAGTCCTACATTTGTTAAGGTACCATATCATGAAAATGAATATAGAAATACAAGATAAAAATAGAAAGAAATATCTATTAGACTTTTCACCCCTTGTTCTAATAACTAACATTATTTTAAGGTTATCAGCGGACTAGCACAAATATTAGGATTGAACACTGAATTAATTTCAGATGTTTTAAACTATTCTATTTTACTATGAGGGCCAATTTGGCTATATACTCAACCTCACTGAAAATGAGACTTGAGCATCTGCTGTCAATTCATTTTACTGGAATATTGGTTCATCGTATTACTGAGACACTAGCTATAAAATCTCTTGCTTCTGGGAGAACAATAATATAACAATATCAAATGAAGCATAGCAATGCTGATCTAAAGAGTCACTGTAGAAATATTCTCTTAGATGTAATGTCCTCAATAAAAATGTTGTCTTGATGGACAAATAATCCAAAAATTATTGAACACAAAGTATTGCTGATTTTAAATGTTTTAGTATATCTGATGTAAAGTTGCCTCGAACTAGATGGACACTGCATGGTTATTGATAAGATTCACCAATCACACTTCCAATAGATACTAAACTCCATAGCAGAAACATTTTCCATATAGTTCTCCGTTCTCAAGGCTGACAAAACTGCTAAAAAATAGTGCCACTTACAGAATGACTCTAATAGCATATGGACTTTTAGATCTGTTTTGTACTACAAAAGCTTAGCTTGTAATAACCAAAGAGAAGGCTTAATTCTGAAATGTTCTTGAGTTAATTGCAATATATGTGTATATAGATAAATGATAGATAGATAGATGATAGGTAGATAGATGATAGATAGATAGATAGAAGATAGATAGATAGATGATAGATAGATGATAGATAAATCTGTTGATATTTTTGTGTCAGTATGAGTTTTCTGAGTTTCATTCTCTGTGTGTCAGCCTAAAAGACTGAGATGATTTTCTACCATTTTTGGATTTTTTCCCCAAATAAGTGGTTTGACCCACAAAATAGTAGGATGTCCTATTGATTTAACAGATCTATGACAACAAATTGTCTACCTCTCTTTAGGAAGCTTTAACCTCCTTGAGTTCACCTTTCCTCAGGAATCCAATCTTGCCACTGTTGCCAAAGCAATGACTGATGCTGTACTTTGACAAAGCCAGTTAAAGCCCAGAGCAAAAGGTGGAAATATTCCTTAGCTGGTGAGAATTCTGCGAATGTCATGAAACAGCCACAGAGGTAAGGGTGAGCAAGGAAGAAACAAACCTTGCTTTTGAGGAAGCAGAGAGAAGATAACAATGTTTATAGCTGTAGTGTTCATTGGGTTGGAGGAACTAAGGAGCAAAATTTGAAAAAATCATCTGTTTTTGCTAGATTCAAGTCAGAATATATTATTATAGATGTGGGAGTATTAGGGGAAGGAGAAATCACACTGCAAAGTTAGAGTTTTAAGCAAGAGTAAGGGTTTCTTTCCTTTGACAGGGTTATCTGAACACTGCCAGGGAGCTCCAGTTCCATTTGTGTAAACATCTGAGAAAGCTACAAAGAGCCATAATGAACTTTAATTTTCTGAAAAAAGTGTTCTGCCATTCTCATGAGTCAACACAGTACAAAGGATCATGTTTTAAACTCAGATGCCATAACCACTTAGTAACATATCACTTGTCAGTTTATAGGAGGAATAGTAGAGAGCCACGGTTAAGAGCCTGAATCTTGGAGCCTTCTGTGTGGAAACAAATTCTTGCTCTGTTACTTATTTTTGATCAGAAGAGACTGCCTTAATCTCACTGTATCTCTGTTTCCTTATATTTTAAATTTAATTTTTATTTTATGTGTATGCGTGTATACCCTGCAAGTGTGCAAGTATACACGTCATGCAATGCCCATGAGTAATAGACAGTTGTTAGTCACTATGCGAGTGCTGGGAATTGAAACCACGTCCTCTGTAAGAGCAGCCAGTGCTTTTAACCACTGAGCCATCTCTCCTTATCTTAACATGGGTATATCAATTTTGCTCAGTTTATAAAATCATTATATAGTTTAAGACATTAATGTGCACGAGGCATTTAAAACATTGTCAAGATGTAGCAAGTAACATTTAAGTGTTAGTCACTATTTCTCTAAGTTCAGACTCCTCTTAATGAGTTGAAAGTAACTATCCATTCCTTGAGTGTATCAGTTAGAACAAATAGCCAAATGAATATAAAAGTTCTTTATAAACTGCCAAAATTGTATATTAATGTAAGATATATTGTTAATGTTGATGGAGGTAAACAAGTTCTATTGGGTAAGTATCTGTAAAAAACTGTTATGGTTTAAAATTGAAAAGTCCTCCTTCCAAGCTTATGTATTTGAACAGTTGATCCACAGCCAATGGGGCTCTTTTGGGGGATTTGGCAAGCTACAGGCAATGAGAACTAGTTGGAAGAATTGGGCCTCTGTGCTTTGGCCTTAGAGAGGTAGCCAAGCCTTTCCTCTGGCCCCAGTCTCTCTCCTGTTCCTGGTATACCGAGACCTGAGACACAGCCTTATAGTCCTGCCTCCAAGCCTTGGGCCGCTTTGGCTGCTGTACTTCCCTGCCATGATGGATTGCATTTTCAAACCATGAGTAAAGATATTCTTCCTCCTTTACAGTGGTTCTTGTCAGGTAATTGGTTATTCAACAACTAGAAAAATACTTAATACAAAGAAATTTGTGAGAGTACCTCACTTGAGAGATTTACAAGTAAGAGCCCTCATTTCAAGTGAACAAGTTATAAATCCTGGCTTTATTTTAATCAGAATGTATAGGCGCTTGTACATATGTAACTACCTTCTAAATTCGTAAGGGTGAACATTCAGTAATGTTCACTTTAAATTTTTGGAAATGTGAAGATTTTAAAACTATCAAAGGTCAGCAATAAAACATAGAAGTGTTAAAGAGTAATTCAATTGCCTTTGTAATACTTTAGGAGAGCAATGTTGAGAAAGCTACCCAAAGAAAATAGGAAAAAACATAATTTCCAATCTTTCCATGTAGTCACACTTTAGATATATTTTATTTCATTAACTTTGTACATATAAGAAAGAAAATGTTTGATTCTATTGTCTCTAACTATAGATCAAGAGTGGTCTTGATCTAAAAAGTGTATCATTGATTTTTCCTTTTAAATAAGCATACTCTGTGGGAATGTACACTGTATTTTGATTTAAGATGAATAATTTAAAAGATACTGAAAGCATAATTTCTATATATCCAAAGGACTCTAAATGAACACAACACAGAAAGATTTCCTTCATCTGTGTTTCTTACAGGCTTATTCACAATAACTAAGATATGTAATCAGCTTATATGTCTATCAACAGTTGAGTGGATAAAGAAAATGTGGTATATTTTACACTACTATAGAATTTTATTAATCCATAAAGAAGAATAAAAATGTGTTATGTTACTTGCAGGAGAACTGAAGCTCATCTTATTAATTGGAATAAGTCTAATCCAGAAAGTCTTATGTGGAAGCTAGAACACACACGAGTATACACACACACACACACACACACACACACACACACACAAATACACAAACAGGGGCATACATGAGCACACATACATGAGCTTTTTGGGAAGAAGAATGGGACTATCAGGACGGGGAAAGGGGGACAGAAGTGGGTATTGGGAAGTGAATATGGTCAAAGCACATGATATATTTGTGCAAAAGTATCATGAATCCCAACACTTTGCACAACAAATATACTATCCATATATATATATATATATATATATAATTTCTAAGTTCAGGATGCAGTTCAATGTTACGGCACTTGCCTAGCATGTACAAGGCCCTGAGTTCCATCCTTAGCATTGCAAATAATTTTAAATACAATCCTTCCATTTATTTCATTTAAAAGAAAACATGTTTTAGTAGAATGGTCATCTTCCACTCTGGTCTCAAAGCCCATTCTCTACTACTCTAATAAAGAAGAATAATAAAAATGCTTATTAAACAAAGCCTGTGTATCAGCTAAGTGTCCTTTATATGAATTATCCCACTTGCTTCTCACTTGAGTCCTACAAAAAAGATACTACCGTGATAATCAGAATCCAGGATGGGCTTTGGTATTAGAAAGTATAAAACTGGAATTATTATTTTTCATTTTCTATGGCCTTGGCCATTCAAATTCAAGCTACTTTCACTCGTCTGCTAAAATTAAAATAATAGTATCAATGTAAGAGGACCAATAAAGGAAACCACATGTGTATGCAGCAGATAGTAAAGGCTAAACATTTTCTTCAGAAATATTTGGTATTCAAATTTAAATAAAAATGGTTAAATAAAGGAATAAAATGATTAAAAATTCCTCACTAAGAGATTTCAAGGCCACTAATATGTTTACCTCTTAGACACTGGCAGAACATAAGTGAGCTTTTTCTTCTTCTACCACACTCCAGGTGAATGTGCAAAGTGCTTGTGATGCTTAGGTGCTGTGGACAGGGTATCTCGTAGGATCACATCCAAAGCAGACAGACAGAAATCTTCCTTATCACAGGACTTCTCACACATACTTAGATGCCTCTTAGCACTGATTACCATCAGATTATGGTGAAATGGACACTTTCAAGTCTTGGATTGTTTAAAAGAAAGGAATACCTACTCGTTTCCTTTTATGAATATCAGTTTCCTATTTCAATACCAATGGCACAAAGGATTTCTATGAGGATGAGGTATTAAAAAAATCAGAAGAGAAGCTTTAGAAAATTCTCATTTTCTTTAGATAAGATGAATTACTAAGGTTTCCTTGTTTGTAGACTAATGCTGTTTGAATTTTAAATATTGCTTTGGTATATAGAAAAAACAGGCAATTATATGTACATTTGTATAAAGAGGGATAAGTCATAAGTATAAAAAGATGAAATTTGAAGAATATGGAATTGGATAAGTTATGCCTAACTCTGTGAGGTAATTTTCAACCTTTCACTTCATTCTCTTTATCTCAACACCACTAGTTTAGTTCGAGAAGCAGTATGGAAGGGTGAGCTGATGGTATACAATTCTGCTGTTGAGTATAGCTCAGTTTTATATTTGAATATAAGACAATTGTATTGCATATGTGGCCAAATATGAGTTGTCCATGTGTTTAAATGTTTAAAACAATGTTATTTAATAGATCTTAAAATTACTGAAAATTAAAATTTCCATCAATAATCAGTCTTTGAATGTTTCTTCATGATTTTTGAATGAATAGTAAATTTGTGATTGGAGTAGAGGAGTTCATTTAAAGATTTTTAGCACCAATTCATATAAGGTGAGTATTTAAATGATGCATTTCACCTTAGTTAAAACATAACTTGAAACAGTTGAATAAAATTTATGTAAAAGTTTTCATTTTTGGTTGTTGGTTCTTTGAATTCAAAGAGCATTTTAAAATAGAAATCAAAATTTGCAATTATTGGTCTTGTCTAAAGCGAGACATGATTTTATTCTGTTATTCCTATTTGGCCAAATAGTTCTGTGACATTTGATCAGTGTTAGCCACTGCTGCCGCCACTGAAATTCAATAAATAAAGGCAGCCATGCTCCAAGAGTCTGTAAGTCTGGCACCTTTGAAATTATGACATTCCATTAAACACTGCATTTATTTATTGCCTGTCTTTGATCACAAAATCAGAAACTGCCCATTTCCACAGCTATATACTTGGGTCTCAAAGGCTGATCGAGATCAAGTCATTCATGCAGCATTCTTATTCCTACCTGTAAACTTGTGATTAGTAACTTGTGGTTGGCAATACATAGATGTGGCACTTACCTGCTCCAACAACTTTGTCGATGGATATGTTGGTAGCATCCAATTCCTTAGCAAACTCATGAACTGCTTGTGTAGGGTCTTCATATGTATGTGGGTCAACGTATGTCCTGAGACCTGGAAGTTTTACTATTTAAGAAAAAAAAAACATGATTGTAGTGAGATTTTTCTAAAAAATTTATTCTGCATACCTATGATAACATTACTGACTTAAAATAATATTTAACCCATTAAGGTACACTGATCTTTAATCTATCGTGTGATATTTCAAAATGTGACAGAGATGCTAGCATACCTGAAGAAAAATATTTTTTAAAAGTTGTCCATGATGAAACATAAAGAAGTACAACAAGGTATTTTCTTTGCAAATACACTAGAAGGAAATTAGAGAGTAAGCACAGGAATTGCTAGCAGCAGCATCACCCTACTATACCAGTGTATTCCTGACTGCAGAGTCACAGCAGTGACCCACATCTATTAGTGAAATACCTGACAGTAAATTGAAACATATGAATAATTTCTGAAGACAGAAGTGTAGCTATAAGTATACATGAATTAATAAAAAATCTATTAAAAGGCATAGTATCCTTCAGACACCATGGAAATGATGTTGTTTTTATTACATTTTGCTTTGTTTTTTGTTGTTTTCAAATTTATTAACAATCAAATTTCCCTATCTAAATTACAAATCCATTTTCAGGTGTCTCTATCTATATGCATGCTAGCATACTTTCAGTGATCTGAAATCATGTATAACTTTCACCATAATTAAAAGAAAAGTAGACCTTGTTTACAAGCTTAACAATGGTGCTGAGAAGGTAAGTTCCAAACATAAATCAAACATATAATCTTTTAAATATGGATTCTCCTTCATGCTCTATTTATTTATTGACTTACTCTGTAGTAAAAATAGTTCATGGTGTTTTATAATTTAAATACAATAGACCACAAAGGCAAATCATCTGGACTATCATTTAGTGACAGTAGTAATGAATACTTACAATATGGACAGATTCTTTAACAATGACTTTTGCTCCACCTTACATCATAAAGCTTCTCTATGTATAATACAAACAAGTTCACTGAGTCATGTGCCATTGTGATCCCTCAGAACACCATTTTGCCTCCACCCAAGATAGTAAATGGAGGTGGGTGTGTTTGAATTGGCATATTAAAGCATGGTGCATGTATTCATATTTAAATCCTTATTGAAAATAGTGGGAGTAATTGAGAAGTTGGCATGATAGTGTATATATAAGGTATCTTAGGGCAAGATTCTCTGATAAGGGAGGATCCAAGCTTGTAGTTCTCCAATTGACACTGGAGAAATGGTTTTGAATAAAGGATGGCGAGGCATAGCTCTAGAGCACAGTTCTTTGAGAAATCTTAAGGAACAAACTCTCAGATTTGGGGTTCAGGTCCACTCTTGGCTATTAAAGCTTAATGCTAAGAGTCAGGTTGATTATGTATTCAGGTACAACTGTAAATAGGCCTAGTGACATCTCAAGTAACAGTGAAATTCTTTTCATTTGGAAAAAGACCACATTAGGGATGATTTGGAATGTTCAGTAAAACTTCTCAGAAAGAAAACTTTAAATAGGAGCCTAAGGTGATTAAATTTCATAAACATGCTCTAAAAATGAAGAAAAATACAAACTCCTATGATTCCTATGTAATGCTTGTTGATATTATTGATTCTGATTTTGATCTTGGTAACATTGGATAACATTATGTTAATATTAACTGTGTATGCTTAATGACTATAGGGTTTTTTGTTTAATTACACTCAAATGTTGCAGGATATGAATGAAAGTTCCCATAAAAATGTTACATCTTGAATTGAACTTCCTACAGTGCTGACCAGCTGTTTAACACTTCAGTGATCGTGGAGCATCTGTAATGTTGTGAGTCCAGAGCCCAGTTACAATTTATCCTGGGCCATCTTGCAACTCCTTGTTCACCTGTGTTCCTGACTTAAGATTCTGTGACTAACTTTCAGGAATGTGTTAACTTAGACCACCAGTTTCTACCAATCAAATGGCTGAGTGTCATCAGAGAGCATTTAAGGCCTATAACTGAGATTCCTCTTTAGCTGTATTATCCTACATATTGTACTTGAAAAGTATCTTGATTTATTACTTTTCTATGTTCTGTTACTTCAGATTGTTCTTTGTTCTGTTGCAACATGGAATTTGGGGTAACCTGAATCTGTGTTCCCAGGCCATGGTTACTCACATTTAGCTTCAAAATAATTGATCTCTTTACTTTTGAGGTGAGAGCTGAGTTTTTGCATCCAGAACAATTTTAATTCAACCAATAAAAACAGATATTATACTTTCCAATAATAACTTTATAATTGAAACATCTCATTCCCAGAAGAAAACTAAACAATTTTTCAAGCAAAGATTCATCTGAGCTGGGTTTTGGTGCACATTATAAGAGTGCCAGCAGTGTCCTGGGAGGCCTTCAGTCCACAGGATAGTCAGCCTGTAAGTGTAGTGATTCATAGTGTTTTTTCTTTCAAGATGACTTCTTTCATTTCAACATTATTCCTTTTTAATAAAATATATGGCAGAGCCATCCTTGAACACAGAGCTTTAGTACTATCCATTATTTAATTAAAGCAGCTTCCATCAACACTGCAACACTGTGCCTTAGGAAAGTACTTATAAATTTCTTAATTTGATAATTATCTTCTTTCTTTTATAATTATTTATTTTTGACATGGTCTCTCTAGTCACAGCCTGCCTGGAACTCACTATGAAGACCAGGCTGGACTCTGTCTCACAGAGAGTAAACTGCCTCTGCCTCCTGAGTACTGAGATTAAAGGAGGCATGTGCCACCACACCCAGAATTAATAATTTTTAAAAAATAACCACTGTTTAACAGGTCTTAGAGAGAACCCCAAGACTGCCACATCCCTAGATTAATGTGATTTCTTACTATGTGAAAACTAAGTATCCTTATATTTATAGACAAATATCCCAGTCACCACTCATCAAAGAAGCTTTTTTTTTATACCAGAGACTATTACCAAGTACCACAACTGGTCACATATAGACCTTGTCTATGAATTGACCAGGCCTAAGTGATATATCTACAATGTAACCTCTACACCTAAGGCTCATGGTTCTCATTAATGAAGCTCTCTCATGCAGCAGATGGCCAAGAACACAAAAGGTCACAAATGGCCAAAGTGTAGAGATCAAGATTTTGCTGAATGCTGGTCCTTGAACAGGACTCCTTTATTAAACTTTACTCACCCTAGGCTCAGGGACCATCGAGGAAGAGGAGGCAAAAGATTGTAAGAGCCAGGGAGGAGGTGCATGACCATATGGAAACAGAGTCCTACAAGCTCCTGGGAACCTGCCCATGTGATTCTATGGCAATGGTGTCAGCATCCACAAGTCCTATGTACACTCAGTCAGACAGAAACCCAGCATAGAACTGAGAAAATGAACAGCAGGCCCCAATCTTATATGAAGAAGTACTGGCAACTGATTGTCACTAGGTGAAGATCTTCTTAAAACAAGGCACTCTAGATAGCTGATTAGAACTCAGTCGATGGACTTGCACTGAGGAATGTCTAGGAACACTTACTTGACACAGTGGGCCTTAACAGGGATGACAGAATATATGGGCTCCATCCAGTGGGGAGGACTTTGGTAGGGTGCCAGTGGGGATAGGGGTATAAGATGATTAAGAATGTTGGAGATGTTCTGAATGAAATACACAAAAATTCAATAAAAAAAAAATTAACCACTGTTACTAAAATATGTTAGGAAGAAAAACGAATGTTTGAATCTTTCAGTCTCATCCAATTTGGTTACATTTTAAAAAATACTTTATTATTTTTATTTTATGTGTATGAATGTTATACCTGCATGTAGGTAAGTGCACCTGTGTCATGCAATGCCAGTGGAGGACAGAAGAGGTTGTTGAATACCCTGGAGCTGGAGTTATGCACAGTTGTTAGCTGCCGTGTGGGTGCTGGGATTCGAACCCAGGTCTTCTGTAAGAACAACCAGTGTTCTTAACCACTGACCCATCTCTCCAGCCCCACATTTTAATTCTCACTTCAGATTACTGACATTGTAATGTATTTTGGCTTGCTTCTACTTTTTAATAGTAAAGTGAAAGAATCTAGATTTTTTCTTCAGGGAAGAAAATGATACTTTAAATACAAGTTTAGTTGAATATTTTTTGCTAATAACTGCAAATATGTAACCTTGCTAAACTTTCAATAGCTCCATTGGGGGAGATTTGCTGGCATTAGAATTTATAAACAATATGAAATAAGTGGTCAGAATCAATGTCTCAAAATTTTAAATGAAAAAATCCTCTACTGAGCTTTAGAGTCAGTCCTAGAGAAAATGTGTGTTACTAAATACTATGCAACCTATGTAATAATTCTTCCCTCAGAATTAATCACAATCACTCCTATTAATCAATGTAAGATAAACTGTTTTTCCATCCACATGGTATTTGTAGAAGAATTATAAACATAATCTCCCTCCCCCAAGTAGAATGGTCCGTTCACCAGGGTTTTTGCTGATTTTTTTAACTGCTTACCCCTGAGGTTCTGGGAATCAGGAGATTCAGGGTACAAGGCACATAATCCCTTCACACCAATAATTAAGGGCAACACACAGAGTAACTGGGTTCTGTTATGAAAACCAGATAGTAAACACATACACACGTGTTAAGCTGCCCTACTTTACAGCTCGTTTTGGGCAAACACAATAATTTACATTTCCATTTTTACCAGCATGAGTTACCCTAAGGATAGCAACAATGTTAAAAAAAACGTTAAAAAAAAAAAAAAAAAAAAAGTCCAGGCAGAGAGGGTGAGGGGACAGGCTCTTAGAAGTGAAACACATTTCTTTTCTTTTGAAGTAATAGTATAGGATTTGTAACGAGGCTGGAGGGAATACTTCATAGCTCGAGTATTTTAAAGCAATACCAAATAAATGGTCTGAAATAAACCAGCTGTAGTATTGAGAGGTAGAAAGTATGACATGCATGTAAGTTGTTTTATGGTTTTAGAACTAGGATAACATGTTTTTCCTTTTTGATTTCTCTATCTTAAGAATATAGTGCACTGGGAAAAAAAAGTTTTAAGGAACTTCACCATAAAAACCAAGAACAAAATGCAAGAACCTTAGAATTGGTGACAGAAATGTATCAAAGGCTATATTCATAAGGCTTATAATTTCATAAAAATGACTAAACCAAAATGGATCCACATAAAGAAAGAGTATTCATATCAGTTGTTCATCTCTAAATTTAAAAATTTCAGTTCACAAGAATGTAATGGACTGACAAATGGACATGTGTAATCTGTGGTACAGTTTTCAGTCAGCTCCTGAATAAAAGGAAGACAACCATTCTACAACTTGATCATTAGCTGAATTGAATAGGTTACCTAACTGACCTGGATTGGTGTGATATTGGTATTATGAAGGTAAAACCTTGGATATTGATTATAAAATTAATTCTTTTACGATGACTCCACAATGAGATGTATGAAGCACATATTGATACTGCAAACTCTTGTATCGTTCTCATACATAGTTTATATTTTTGAAACCATTCTTTACTGTCTTTGATTCAACCTACTCTATGCATTCCACAGATAAACAACAGGTAACGACAACTTTTACTCTAGTTGTAACCAAAATTATCTTTATTTTAGATCCAGAAACCGTGGTTGATAGTCAATTTGAAGACAATTTTAGAAGTCGATGTTGAATGCTGAAACAAATATTGCTTGCAAGACCTAATTATTAGTTCTGTGAAGACACGTTAGAGCAAGTAAGCACCAGTCTTTTTCAAACTATGGCTCAATTCAGGGTGGAAATTATTAATCTGCAACTTTAGAAGAACTAGCTAGTTCTCATGGAAGTTAATCAAAAGTCCAGACTGGTCCATGGAATGACTTGTTTCACCAGAAAGAAAAACAAAAACAAAAACGAGCCATTTTGTTAGACTTAAACACTTTGCTACCTACAAGGTATTCATTTTAGAAAATATTAACAGAGGTTAAACTGGTTGGTATTAAAAAGGGGAAGAAAAGTACTGGCTTTCCTACCAATTAGCTATCATGTAACTCTAAAATAAACAGTTTATTCTAAAAGCTCTTCACTGGTTGGTTGTCCAAATGTAGGAAGGCATTTCACACACACCGAGGTTGTTTATATTCACTTGGCAGGAGAGACAATCCTCCTATTTACTTCACAGAAGACTTGTAAGTATTGCAGAATTGAAAATATTTGGCATTTCAGTCTCTGGAGCTGCTCACTGCTCAGGACTCATCACGGGCATTATTTGACCATAAACCATAAATCACTTTATGATGAAATGCAGCCATGGGACAGTTTCTTAAGGCAGAGCCATGAATTCCCTTCTCGTTTCAAAATAAATTTAATTTGCTCATTTTTTCCTCATAAAACTAGTTTAGAATTCTTTTAGTTAAGTGGAAGTCACCCAATTGTAATGCAACAACTGCTAGAACGAAAAGGTTAACAGAAACAAAGTTTAGAAACTCACAATGCCCATTCCCAAAGTGAAGTCGCTTCTCATCTGCCCCGTGTTTTGACTTCTTGTAGCCACAGAACCTAGAGGTAAATCAAAGCAAGAGAACGCGTAAGGACATTTCACAGACAACCAGGATCCATGCTCAGAATATGGAAAGCCCCAAATGAAGTTTTTTCCTGAAGCAATCAAACGCTTTAGTGAAAGCATATTGACTTCATAGGCTATTTCTAAGTCCTCCGTGGAAAGCCTCTTTTTCAGGGGACCCTGGAAAGCTGCCTAATGAGGACATATGCAAAGCTGCTTCCCCACTGTGCAGACGCCTCCAGTTCAGATTTTATAATGGCCTTAGAATGTGTTTATAGTATTTTTTTAACAACTACTGTCGGAATGAATAAAGGGTAAAGTCTCCATTGGCTGCGATTAGTACTGTGCCGGGTTACCAGTGTTTTGGGTGAGAAAGTGTCAAAGAAATCTGGGGTAATTGGAAGAATGAGGGGGTAGTTGGAAAAAGAAGGTGGAAACTAGGAATAGAGAGTGAACGGAGAAGTGGTATGTGCTAGAGTGCAGATGGGAGTTGATGGAGGAAAACAAAGAGAGATGGACACAGAACATGAACAGTCCAATTTGTTAACCAAGCACGTGCTCTTCAGAGTCTATGCTCCACCCAGGGCAGCACAAAGTCATAATGAAAGCCAACACTTCAGCCCGCTGAACTCACCTCCCAATCAAAACATAAATGACAAGGGTGAGGACGATGATTGCCACAGCTGCTGAAATGGCGATCATTACCACGTGGCTGTTTTCACCAGAGATGGAGAAAGCTGTGAGGTTGAAGGTAAAAGAGAAGAAACATTACCACCATGACAGCAAACCTCACATAGCAGAGGTTATAAACTCAAAAACTACCTTACTCGTTGGTGGTTTAGTAGAGTACTGACACAATCCACCCAATATTTTTTTTAAGTGACATTTCTAATAAATTTGCATAAAATCTTTCATTATTAAAATTATTATTTAGTAATAAATTACTCTGTTTTGAGGTCTTTAATATTACTTGAATGTCTACTTGTGAAATAGATTGGCTTAGATTTCTCTGTCCCCAGGGGCTCAAAACTCACTGGCTAAATCAGAAGTTACCAGATGAACACATCAAATTAAGATAATAAAAGTCAAATGTCTGCAGATACAGATATTAGATTTGTGGTTACCAGAGGGTGAGAAGGCAGGACACACACACACACACACACACACACACACACACACACGAAGGAAAGGTTTTTTACACACACACACACACACACACACACACACATACACACACACACACATGACGGACAGGACAGTAGAGGCTGGGAAAAGTGGCCAGTAGGTACAAAGTTCCAGTTAGAAAGGAGGCTAATTTTTCAAATTTTGCTACATACTTAAGTGACCACAACTATTATAATATATTGTATAATTCAAAAATTTAAACTCTTCACAAGAACAGATATATGTAAGATGGTATGTTAATTATGCTGAGTGAATTAAATTAATAAACGATTCCACCGTATTTATAAGCATAGCTTTACAATTGCTAAATATATAGAATTATTTTAACACTTTCAAATAAAACTTTTAAAAAAGTGATATATTTCTGGCTTATGGACGGTGCTGGATAGCTTTAGTGTCAACTTGACACACCTGGGTTGAGGGAGCCTCAACTGGGGAATTGCCTCTATTGGACTGGCCTGTGGCCATGTCTGTGGGGCATCTTCTTGATGAGTGATGTGGGAGGGCCCAGCCCACTGTGGGTGGCATCACCCCTGGGCAGGTGGGCCTGTGTTGCATAAGAAAGCAGGCTGAGCAGGGGTCAGGGGAGCAAGCCAGTAAGCAGCATTCCTCCATGGCCTGTGCTTTAGCGCCTGCCTCCACGTTCCTGGCCTGTGTTCCTACCTTGGGCTTCCTGATGAACTGTGACCTGGGGGATATAAGCTAAATAAACCCTTTCCTCCCCATGTTGGTATTGGTCAGAGTATTTTGTCACAGCAATGAAGAAAAAAACTAAGACGTGGACCAAATATAACCAACAATCTCTCCCAATATTTCCTGTAAATGTTTAAATGGCACCTGAAATTCATTCATTCATTCATTCATTCATTCATTCATTCATTCATAAAGATCATCACAACTCATGACTTTGAAGCCAAATCTAGTCAGTCTCCAGTTTTTTATATGGTTTCTTAGCTAAGAAAAGTTTTTGGCTTTTGTGGTACGTATAAAAAAAAGGTCAAAAGAACATCATAACATCTGAAAATTGAACCAACTTCAAATTTCTGTTTCCAATAAATAAAGGTTTATCAGAACATAGAAACAATGATTCTTTGGGTATCACTGGTTATATGGTAACGTGAGTATCATCACTGGAGACTGTATATGCACACAGGATAAAGTATTTATCTTCCCCATTACTGAGTAAGTTCACTGCCCCTTCACTACAACCAATGATTCTCAAACTCCAATGTATGCATTCATAAAACACCCCCACACTTACAGAAAGAAGAGTTTATTTGGTTTAAAGTTCCAGAGGAAGAGTCTATATTGGTGGGAAAGCATGGTGGTGGGAGATGGCCAGAGCAGAACTTTAAGTGTTCACATCTTCAATCAGATACAGCAAACAGTGAAACTGGAAATCTTTCAAGTCAAAAGAATTTGTAAAACCTGCCCCCAGTGACCTGCTTCCTCCAGCATGGCCATATCACCTAAAGGTTCCATGACCCTCCTCAAATAGCACCAGGAATTGGGGACTAATTGTCCGAATACTTGGAACTTATGGGGGACATTCATTCAAACCACCACACCTATGGACTGGTCCTTGTCGTCTCCTATCATTCCACCTCCAGCTAGTCACCAAACCCTCTTAATTGTACTGTTTACTGTCTTAGAATTATAATTAAAAATTCCAAATTGATCTCTTTTTGCCTTTCTTGTTTTTTACCATGTCACTTAGGTATTCCTTCTACAAAACCATTCCAGTGTGCTAATCCTATGTTTAAAATCTGTACTTAATTCTCTAACATTTTCAGGATAAATTACAAATTTTAAGATTTGCGTACAAAGTCTTTCAGGATCTAAAGCCCTAGAATTATCTGTTACAAACTCTATTAGCATCCAAATCTGCAGACCTTCTAAAATGCTCACAGTTCCTGGGAAAGCCCTGTGCTCATATTTGCATATTTCATTCTGGTAATAAATGCTAATCAAACACATGAACATATTATGACTCAATAAAAAGAGAAGAGAGGGAGGAAGAGGGAGTGGGCTAGCTAGCGGGGTGGAGGGGGTGGGGACTCGTTAAATGAATACTGTCATCTCATCAGAAACCAACATTAAATCTTTAAACTGGCCACATCTAGTTTGGAAGGTTTTTTTTCTTCAAAACAAGTGATTTTCAAGTGTGGCTAAGTGATGCAAGCTAAGAACCATGGCAGAGGCTGTTAAAAGATCCCTGTGTATCTGACAAAAGAGGTTAGAGTGTGACAGGAGGGCTCATGGTAATATAAACTGTTGTAAGCACTTATTCGGTGCTACTAGCCTGATACTGTGGAGGTAAGGGAGTGTCCTCTCAGATGCTTCTAATGCCAAGAGTGCGGTACATAGACAGCCTCAAGTTGTATCTTTAGGATCACTGAAGCCTTCAAGCCTAGGCCCTGTCTTCCATGGCAACTAAATAGATAAAGGATGAAAGAGTTGGATTCTGGGGATTCTGGACCAATGAAAGACTCCGGACATGAACCTCTTATGCTCTGCAGCTCCCGATTGCTGTGGTTGCAACTCTTAGAACAGCATGCAGTTGGAGGCTCTCCCTCCCCAGCCCTTTCTTCTTGCTTCTTTCATATGTGTTAGGCATACATTTCAGTCAGATTCTGTCTCAAACATCTATTCCATCCCACCTTCAATGTTTCAGGTGTTTCCTCGCAAAGCTTTAGATCATGAAATTTGTCTTGGTACCTGCTTTTTCTGTATTTCCCCATCCATTGACTATGGATATGTGATTAGTTGGTAAAACAATTTAGCAAGGGTTTCATAATGTTAATAAATATATAATGACAATTCTGACTCAGCTTTTCAACTTATATGCTGCAGTAATTTATAATGACCAGTAAGTTTTAAATTCTATGGTCATTTTTATTATACAGTTTATTAAAAAGTAGCTCAATGAAATTGGGGGAAGAAATGATGAGGAGAAGTAATGCTCTGTCTCTTCCTCTGGCAAACATGGAATTAAGCTTCAGCTTCTCTTCACATTCTTCCTGCTCTAAACACATGATTCCCAGAAGTTATCAAAAACTCATAATCAGATCAGATCATGTTTGCTACTGAAATTCTAAAAACAATTGAATGAATATCAGCGGACCATATAGCTGTCTAACAACTTAAAATGATATACTGATAACCACTGATATCTATTACATTTCTAAGAAATTCCATTTGAATTTGTTTTCCCATAAGCAAGTTACTTCTTATTTCCAGTCACTTCCCATTCTAATCCATCCTATTACCCTATATAGTGCTGGCTTTCTCTGTCTGGTGGATGTGGCAACTACTCATTCTTTTGAGTCAGAATGCTTGGGTTAGCTCTTGTTTGCTTTGTCATATCATTTACTCAAGTACTAAATGAGTTACTGCAATAAAGCATTTATACCTCTGCCAGACACAAAGCAAGACTTCAAGTTACATACATATTTTTATTTTATCAGATCCATGGTGAAGAAATTGGCAAAGAATCTCATTTCCTATGAAATTGCTTTTTGCAAAGGCTCTCCATATAATGATTTTATTTTGCATTTTTCAACCTGGCATGATGGTCACTATTAATAGGGACCAAAAAGTTAATTTGTCACACACTTAATCTTTAAATAGAAAAGCAAATGTTCTGTGGCCTTCAGATATCCTAATATAATTGCCCTGGGGCTCATCCCCTTGGATAATAATATCCAAGAGCGTTCTCCAGTTCCAAAACTCAATTTTATCATTGATTTTTATCACTTAAATCTTCAAATAACAGACCATTCATTTAAAAACAAAGCACATAGTGACTTCCCACAAATTTATATTACAAACTTAATCCCTAATACAAAAGTGTTGGGAGGTAGGGTCTAATGGGAGGCATTTATATCCTGAAGGCCTTGCCTCCATGCATGCCTTTATGTTCCTTTAAATAGTTCTGGAATGTGCACATATACTCAGTCTTCTGCTGTGTCAGGCATATTTATTCTGCCTGCCCTTCTAGTTACCATAGGAAGATGTAGCCAAAAGGTCCTCACCAGACCCCACATTCCAGTGCCTTTTTCCTGGATTTTTCAGCTTATAGAACTATGACAAATAATTCGTCTTCTCTACTCTCTGGTATTCTGTTGTAGATATGCACACACCCACGCCCACACCTTCCAACTCCAGCCACTCCTACACCCACACCCTTGCATCACGCCCATTGAATACTTTCTCTACTAGGTAATATTTAAAACATTTTCTTACTAAAAACTAATTTAATTAACATAAATATCATAGTGAATTATGCACTATCTTCTCCAGTTCTTAGACTGATTCATGGAACACTGAAGTGTTTTGCCAATGCCACCCAAATATATGCCACTCAGTTTCTAGGGTCTTCGCTGTTAATTTCTCCATCATTCCCGTTTTACTAGGGTACGACACACACTCCTCCTGGATTCAGATTTTGCACACTGGTTCTTGATAATGAGCTGTTAGAGATTTGATTATGTCTGCTATGAATTGAGTTTGACTGTCTCCCAGGGGACTCATGTTTTGAATGCATGGTTCCCAATGGGATACATTCTGACCTAATGGCTTAATCCACAGACAGATTCAAAGCTTGATATTATTGGGGCTTTATTGAAGGAAGTGTATTACCGGCTGTGTGGGAGCAGGATATTTTGTCTCCAGCCTTACTTTCTGTGTCCCTCTGCTTCCTGGCTGCCCTGAGTTCAGCATCTTTCCATCTTCCACACCCAGTGTCATGTTCTACCTCACTAGAGGTCCACACCAAGGAGCCAGCCAACCATGTCATGAAACTCTTAAAACCATGAGCCAAAATAAATGTTTCCTGCTTTAAACTCTCTCTCAGGTTTGCATCACAAGGGAAAAAAGGCCAACTAATGCAATGCCATACTGTTTTTAGGTTTTCAAAATCCTCCCACCTGTCTGAACTCAATACTTTCTGTGGGTCTTAGATTTGTGTTGTGTGTGTTAAGAGGGGGGATAATAACAGTATGAGATTAGGACTCAAAACCTTGCAAATTCTAGTTTTCTTTGCTCACATTCCTTAGGCATGCTCAGAAAAACACACAAGTCTGTGTCTCAGATCATGTATAGAAGGAAACAACTATCTCTGACAAAGGTACAAAATAGAAAAAGAAGTAAAATGTTCATGAACATGCCTAAATACTGTCATATGAATGCAAGAGCTCTATAGTCAGACATATCATTAAAAACCTGTGTGACTTTGAGAACCTCACTTAAGCTCTCTGTGTTTTTTCCTCCTCAGTAAAAATAGAATTGATAGTAAAAATATATTGATAAGCAACAAATGAGACATTTCAAAGCTCTTAAACTATGTGCTGATTCAGTCTGCCTCCATAGTTTTCTATGAATGAAGATCATAAACTGTTATCTAAATTCTAGCTCAAATGCACTGTTCTGTATTAAAAAAAATATTTGTTATGTTTGAAAAATGGACACATATTTTTAAAAGAAAAATCCAAAAGAACATAAATGACTAAAGACACCCAAAGGGGCCTTTCTATATCTGTTAAATATTAAAACAAAGCAAATAAAACTCTTAAATTTTAAAATTGTTAAAGTATAGATCACTGTGACTTTAAAAATGAATAAAATGGGGCTGGAGATATTGTTCAGTAGTTAAGCACACTGACTGCTCTTGCAGAGGACCCACGTTTGAATCTAAGCACACACATGGTGGCAAACAACCATCTTTAGCTCCAGTTCCAGGGGATCTGATACCTTCTTTTGGCCTCCCTGAGCATTGCATAACATAGGTGCATTTACATACATAAAGGCATAACATACACATAAAACAAAAATTAATTTTTAAAAAAATTAAAAAAGAAATAGAATAATCAATTTTTGTGTCCCTCCACTCTCACAAGGAATTCATTATTCCTATTTTTCCATTTTTGAGTCCATATGTATCCTATTTGAAACAACTATGAGCAAGCTGATTTCATAAAAACTCAAACTGTGTAACTGAGTCTTTTTAATACATGAATGGGAAATGGGAAGAGGAAAAGTTCATGTTTTTTAATATATTTTCTTTACCTCTCTCTTTGTCTTTCTGTCTATCTCTCTCTTTCTCTGACTCTGTTTCTCTCCCATTGACCATAAGAATAAAACTTGCTTAGGAAAAACTTAAAACTCTGGAGGATGCAAATTTGTTTTGTCTCTTGCTTTCCCTCCCTCCCTCTCTCCCTCCCTCCCTCCCTCTCTCCCTTTCTCCCCTCCCTCCCTCCCTTGCTTTCTTTTTTTCCTTTCTTTCTCCACATTCAGCATTTCAAACATGATGAGGAAAATGTTTTCTCACTAGAATATATCCCATCCCACTCATTTGTCTATTTCATTTCTTAGTACAATTTTATTCTTTTATATTAGGTGTATCAGTGGCATTATGACATTTTTATACATGTGTCCAGTGAACTTCAGTTATATTCAGATACTCAAGGATCATTAAAGTTTAAGCAGGTATGACCACCCCAGCAACGTCTAAAGAAAGTCTGGAATTGCATTAAAAATTTGGAGTTTGCTCCTAATTGTGGAATTTATCCATCAGATAGGTATTAACTGCTGATTAGCATTATGCAGGATTCTGCAGATTTTTCATAATATACAGCAACAGGATGAAATGGTTACTTGAAGCTGATCTGCCCTTCTCTCGATATGCACAATGCATATAACAAGTTACCATAAGTTTAACTTTAAAAAATTTCCTTGATTCATAATCTTTACCACAAAAGACTGAATATTTTGCTCCTGATATTAGCTCAAATATACATTTATAAATTTAAAAATACAAGTTATAATTATTTCCAAAAGAGGAAATTTTGGTACTCTTAAGCAAGGTGTATACACACCACACACACACACACACACACACACACACACACACACACACACAGACATAGTACTACTAATGCCAATTTGAAATCACATTCATTGTCATTATATAGAATTTTCAATTCATTTTAAGCTTTGCTCACATGAACTTCATGATATTTTACATTTTGTTGCTCCTATTTTCAGAGAGGAGTTTCTTCCTGCCAATTTCCTCACAGGAGGATGAGGCAAGTTCTTTAGAGGTAGGTTTGGGTATTTAAGGACGACGGCTCTCCTTAAATATAATTGTCATGGTTCTACTGTCAACCAGTGACAGACATCTAGGAGCGTTACAGCTCCAGCACCTTGCAGAAGTGAGAGCTCATCACATTAAGCAGCATCTTACTTGGCAAAAAGTTCTGTAAATTATGATTCTACGAATTATTGACTTTATTATTTTAATGAAAACATTTTCATCAATTTATGTTAGTCCAGATTATTCCAAGTCATAAAATATTACCATACCAGTAATAATGTGATTGCATATCAGCACAAAAATATTTATAAAACAGGAAATGTAAGGACCAGAAAAAAAAATGGCAATTTAGAATGCTCTGAGAGATTCCAAGGCACCTTTTTAGTGCAGTGCTGGGCATTGTAGATCTTCCTAGGATAATCTGTATCTAATGGCTATGGATCTTTATCATCTTTGAAGGCTATGTTTATAGCTGTGACTTAAGTTGTAGGAAGCTATTAGTGATGTATGTGATTTCTCCTATTATAATTAAAATGATACTGAGTTGCCAGAAATATAATTAATTCACTCCTTGTAGAAAAAAAATGATCTCTGTCAGTAAACTTCATTATTCTACAAGGTAATAGCCATACAGATATTAAGCATTTTTGTCCTGTGAACAAAGTATTCCTCACTACCTAAAGCACATAGAGGCACACGCAAGTATAGGTATGCATATGTGTGTTCACATTTTCCTTTCAACTAATTGTAGTTAAGTATATCTTTCAGTTGTATGTATTTTATGTTACTACCATAGTAATTTTCATTGCCTTTTGAAAACACTGTTATAGCAGAAGAATTTTAAAGTAAGAAACATAAACATTTAAAGAGAGATAAAGTTATTGGAAAAATATTTGCCAATTTTAGAAAAAATTTTGGTCAAATGAACAGGCTATCCAAATAGTTTATGATAGAATGAAGTGATACAACATATTTTTAAAAACTTAAAGTCCTAACATGTATGGCAAAATACATGAGGTCTGGTGGGACAGGAGGGCATGGATGGGGGCAGGGTTCTGAATTTGATTAAGTACTGTATGAAATATACAAAAGCTCAATAAAAAATTAAAAATAAATGGAACCAAAATAAAAAAAGATATATTATAATTATAATAAAAACTTTAAAGTCCATATTATCTAGCTTATACGTGGATGTATTAAGAAGTGAAACAAAATTAAGACACTCATGGATTAGCAATTTTCCTTTATGTAGTTTATTGACTCGTGCAATGAACTTAGAATATCGGGATTGGCAGGCACTGAAAGCACGTTATCACATTAAATAATATACCTGAAAAGCAATTATGGCTAATAGCAAACCAAATTCATTCCAGAATTTAGAACATGTTTAATTTGTAAAAGAGAAAAAGCAACAGATGCATAGCCACAGTTACAGGAAACCATAGACAAAAAGACTATGCAGCTTGCTAAATTCTCTCTCCACAAACGTCCATTGAACGACACTGGATTAAACCTGAGAATAAAGGCTCAGGCATTTTTTTTTGTAACACCGCACGCCCTATACAATAAACTGAAATAATACATACAGTCCGGGCTGGTTTCAAATTCAAACTTGCGGCTGTTGGTTCCATATCCTGCTGCTGTCCGTGCTCGGATTTGAAATACGTATGTAGTGTCTGGCTTGAGGCTACTGATGGTAACGTTTGTGCCTCTTGCCCTCAAAATGGTGTAACTTGTCTCTTGTTCCTGCTTTGAAGTAAAAAATTTTTTTTTTTTTTTTTTTTTTTTAAAAAAAAAAAAAAAAAAAAAAAAATCATGTTAGCATCAAGTGTTATTAATACTAATCATAGTAGAGACCATGTTAATTATTTCACTTTCTAGGTATAAAAGAAAATTTCAGAACTTCTTCATCTGGATGTAACGATTTATATCCTGCACCTAAAATAAGAAAAGTTAGGTTTCATGTTAATTATGCACTGTGTACATGAAAACTGAGGGAAACTTTCAACTAATTCTAAGAGTAAACATAAGAAAGAAGATACCCCATTCAGGTAAAATAGAAATATTCTAGCAACTATCAAATATGAAATATCTCTATTATAAAGTATTTTTTAAATCTCTTGTTTAATAGATTGCCTCAGTACATCTTTATTTATATTGCATTTAATCTACATCATTGTCATTGATTACTGGGGGATACTTTCAGATCAAAGTGAAGTATTTCACAAACACAACCTCATCTGGGAAGTTCATGTGGAACATTAATAATAATAAAATTCCTGTAATCAAAGATTGTTTACGATAAAGGAGTTTACACAGAAGTTTCCTTTTCCCTTCTAGAATATATCATATGTCAATTAGATGGATATTTCTCTTTCACATTCTTTATTTTTTCTTTTTCTTTCTTTTTTCTTTCTTTGTGTGTGTGTGTATGTGTATACAAGTATGCATATGCGTGAATACATGTGTGCATATGTATGTAGATGCAAAGGTTGACATTGGGTGTCTTCCTCTATTGCTTCTCCACCTTATTTTTGGAGATCAGGATCTGTTACTGAGACTAAAGCCCACTGATTTGCTAGACTAGCTAGCCAACAGGACCCATGTATTCTGTTGTCTCCACCTCCCCAGTGTTTCTGGGATTACTGGCACACCCCTGTACCTAGCCTTTTATGGGATGTTGGGGATCTGAACTCAAGTAAGCAAATTTACACAACAAGTAATTTACCAACCAAGCCATTTCCTGAGTCCCCAATTGCAGATGCAAACTAACTAAAGAGTTGATTAGATGACATCTGAGTTACTATACTAATGAATGGAAATGGATATATTTTTATACAACTAATTATTTGACTCATTATATAATAAGTACACACCCCAAACCAGTTTCTACTTCTCAGTTACACAGTAAGCATCAATGCAGACACATCTTCTAAAACTAAAGTTTTAGAAGAACATTCAAAATAT